CTCTCACTGCTGTGGCCTCTCCCGTTGCGGAGCACAGACTCCAGACGCGCAGGCTCAGCGGCCATGGCTCACGGGCCCAGCCGCTCCGCGGCATGTGGGATCTTCCCAGACCGGGGCACGAACCCGTGTCCCCTGCATCGGCAGGCGGACTCTCAACCACTGCGCCACCAGGGAAGCCCCTGAGAAAATATTTGAAGAGATTATAGTTGAAGACTTCCCTAATATGGGAAAGGAAATAGTCAATCAAGTCCAGGAAGTGCAGAGAGTCCCATACAGGATAAATGCAAGGAGAAAAACGCCAAGACACATATTAATCAGACTATCAAAATTAAGTACAAAAAAATATATTAAAAGCAGCAAATAACACCCAAGGGAATCCCCATAAGGTTAACAGCTGACCTTTCAGCAGAAACTCTGCAAGCCAAAAGGAAGTGGCAGGACATATTTAAAGTGATGAAGGAGAAAAACCTACAACTAAGATAATCCATCAAGGATCTCATTCAGATTTGATGGAGAAAGTAAAACCTTTACAGACAAGAAAAAGCTAAGAGAATTCAGCACCATCAAACCAGCTTTACAACAAATGCTACAGGAACTTCTCTAGGCAGGACACACAAGACAAGGAAAAGACCTACAGTAACAAACTCAAAACAATTGAGAAAATGGTAATAGGAACATATTGATAATTACCTTAAATGTAAATGGATTAAATGCTCCAACCAAAAGACATAGACTGGCTGAATGGATACGAAAACAAGACCCATATATATGCTATCTACAAGAGACCCATTTCAGACCTAGGGACACATACAGACTGAAAGTGAGGGGATGGAAAAATATATTCCATGCAAATGGAAATCAAAAGAAAGCTGGAGTAGCAATTCTCATATCAGACAAAATAGACTTTAAAGAAAAGACTATTACAAGAGACAAAGAAGAACACTACATAATGGTCAAAGGATCAAGAAAAAGACTAAACAATTGTAAATATTTATGCACCCAACATAGGAGCACCTCAATACATAAGGCCAATGCTAACAGCCATAAAAGGGGAAATCAACAGTAGCACAATCATAGTAGGCGACTTTAACACTCCACTTTCACCAGTGGACAGATCAACCGAAATGAAAATAAGTAAGGAAACACAAGCTTTAAATGATACATTAAACAAGATGGACTTAATTAATATTTATAGGACATTCCATACAAAAACAACAGAATACACTTTCTTCTAAAGTGCTCATGGAACATTCTCCAGGATAGATCATATCTTGGGTCACAAATCAAGATTTAGTAAATGGAAGAAAATTGAAATTATATCAAGTATCCTTTCTGACCACAACACTATCAGACTAGATATCAATTACAGGAAAAAAACTGTAAAAAGTACAAACACATGGAGGCTAAACAATATGCTACTAAACAACCAATAGATCACTGAAGAAATCAAAGAGGAAAGCAAAAACTACCTAGAAACAAATGACAATGAAAACACAATGACCCAAAACCTATGGGATGCAGCAAAAGCAGTTCTAACAGGGAAGTTTATAGCAATACAATCCTACCTCAAGAAACAAGAAAAATCTCAAATACACAACCTAACCTTACACCTAAAGCAATTAGAGAAAGAACAAAAACAACCCAAAGTTAGCAGAAGGAAAGAAATCATAAAGATCAGATCAGAAATGAATGAAAAAGAAATGAAGGAAATGATAGAAAAGATCAATAAAACTAAAAGCTGGTTTTGAGAAGTTAAACAAAATTGATAAACCATTAGCCAGAATCATCAAGAAAAAAAGGAAGACTCAAATCAACAGAATTAGAAATGAAAAAGGAGAAGTAACAACTGACACTGCAGAAATACAAAGGATCATTAGAGATTACTACAAGCAACTATATGCCAATAAAATAGACAACCTGGAAGAAATGGACAAATTCTTAGAAAAGCACAACCTTCTGAGACTGAACCAGGAAGAAATAGAAAATAGGAACAGAAAAATCACAAGCACTGAAATTGAAACTGTGAATAAAAATCTTCCAACAAACAAAAGCCCTGGACCAGATGGCTTCACACGCAAATTCTATCAAACATTTAGACAAGAGCTAACACCTATCATTCTCAAACTCTTCCAAAATGTAGCAGAAGGAAGAACAGTCATTCTACGAGGCCACCATCACCCTGAAACAAAACCAGACAAAGATGTCACAAAAAAAGAATACTACAGGCCAATATCACTGATGAACATAGATGCAAAAATCCTCAACGAAATACCAGCAAACAGAATACACCAGCACATTAAAAGGATCATACACCATGATCAAGTGGTGTTTATCCCACGAATGCAACGATTCTTCAATATACGTAAATCAATCAACATGATACACCATATTAACAAAATTGAAGGATTAAAAACCATATGATCCTCTCAGTAGATGCGGAAAAAGCTTTTGAAAAATTCAACACCATCTATGATAAAAACTCTCCAGAAAGTAGGCATAGAGGGAACTTACTTCAACATAATAAAGGCCATATATGACAAACCCACAGCCAACATCGTTCTCAATGGTGAAAAACTGAATGCATTTCCACTAAGATCAGGAACAAGACAAGTTTGCCCACTCTCACCACTATTATTCAATATAGTTTTGGAAGTTTTAGCCACAGCAATCAGAGCCGAAAAAGAAATAAAAGGAATCCAAATTGGAAAAGAAAACGTATAACTGTCCTGTTTGCAGATGACATGATACTATACACAGAGAAGTCTAAAGATGCTCCCAGAAAACTACTAGAGCTAATCAGTGAATTTGGTAAAGTTGCAGGATACAAAATTAATACACAGAAATCTCTTGCATTCCTATACACTAATGATGAAAAATCTGAAAGAGAAATTAAGGAATCACTCCCATTTACCACTGCAACAAAAAGAATAAAATACCTAGGAATAAACCTACCTAAGGAGACAAAAGGCCTCTATGCAGGAAACTATAAGACACTGATGAAAGAAATTAAAGATAATGCCAACAGATGGAGAGATATACCATGTTCTTGGATTGGAAGAATCAACATTGTGAAAATGACTATACTACACAAAGCAATATACAGATTCAATGCAATCCCTATCAAACTACCAACGGCATTTTTCACAGAACTAGAACAAAAAATTTCACAATTTGTATGGAAACACAAAAGACCCTGAATAGTCAAAGCAATCTTGAGAAAGAGAAATGGAGCTGGAGGAATCAGGCTCCCAGACTTCAGACTATAGTACAAAGCTACAAGACAGTATGGTACTGGTATAAAAACAGAAATATAGATCAATGGAACAGGATAGAAAGACCAGAGATAAACCCATGCACATATGGTCACCTTATCTTTGATAAAGGAGGCAAGAATATACAGTGGAGAAAAGACAGCCTCTTCAATAAGTGGTGCTGGGGAAACTGGACAGCTACATGTAAAAGAATGAAATTAGAGCACTTCCTAACACAATACACAAAAATAAACTCAAATCTACATTTAGATTAAAGACCTAAATGTAAGACCAGACACTATCAAACTGTTAGAGGAAAACATAGGCAGAACACTCGGTGACATAAATCATAGCAAGATCCTTTTTGACCCACCTCCTGGAGAAATGGAAATAAAAACAAAAATAAACAAATGGGACCTAATGAAACTTAAGACAACCCTCAGAATGGTAGAAAATATTTGCAAACGAAGCAACTGACAAAGGACTAATCTTCAAAATATACAAGCAGCTCATATAGCTCAATATCAAGAAAACAAAAAACCCAATCCAAAAATGGGCAGAAGACTTAAATAAACATTTCTCCAAAGAAGACATACAGATTGCCAACAAACACATGAAAAGCTGCTCAACATCACTAATCATTAGAGAAATGCAAATCAAAACCACAATGAGGTATCACCTCACACCAGTCAGAATGGCCATCATCAAAAATTCTACAAACAATAAATGCTGGAGAGGGTGTGGAGAAAAGGGAACCCTCTTGCACTGTTGGTGGGAATGTAAAATGATACAGCCACTATGGAGAACAGTATGGAGGTTCCTTAAAAAACTAAAAATAGAACTACCATACAACCCAGCAATCCCACTCCTGGGCATATACCCTGGGAAAACCATAATTCAAAAAGAGTCATGTACCACAATGCTCATTGTGGCACTATTTACAATAGCAAGGACATGGAAGCAACCTAAGTGTCCATCGACAGATGAATGGATAAAGAAGATGTGGCACATATATACAATGGAATATTACTCAGCCATAAAAAGAAACGAAATTGAGTTATTTGTAGTGAAGTGGATGGACCTAGAGTCTGTCCTACGGAGTGAAGTAAGTTAGAAAGAGAAAAACAAATAGTGTACGCTAACACATATATATGGAATCTAAAAAAAAAAAAATGGTTCTGAAGAACCTAGGGGCATGATAGTAATAAAGACACAGACGTAGGGAATATACTTGAGGACACGGAGAGGGGGAAGGGTAAAGCTGGGATGAAGTGAGAGAGTGGCATTGACATATATGCACTACCAAATGTAAAATAGATAGCTAGTGGGAAGCAGCTGCTTAGTACAGGGAGATCATCTCGGTGCTTTGTGACCACCTAGAGGGGTGGGATAGGGAGTGTGGGAGGGAGACGCAAGAGGGAGGAGATATGGGGATTTAAGTATATGTATAGCTGATTCACTTTGTTATACAGCAGCAACTAACACAACAATGTAAAGCAATTATACTCCAATAAAGATGTAAAAGAATAATAATAAAAATTTTTTTTAATAAAATACAAAATTTTTAAAAAAGGATCAGAAATTTCCTAGTTGTAGAAGCCACTAGAGTTAGTTGCCTGTTACTTAGAGCCAAAATCATCCAGTCTGACACAGACTCTGTAAGTTAGAACCAACTGTAACCCTCAGTGTATATAGATGAGGCACCTGAAGCACGAGGAAATTAATGAACTTAAGGAAGACAGAGCTTACCTTAAAGCCATGGTGAACCAGACCACTGCCAGAATCAGTGTGTTCATCCTGTAGGGCCCCATCACACAGTACAGAGCGTTTTCCCAGACCTATAACACACAGAAGAGATGGGTTGTTAAAAGCAGAAACTTGTGACTTGGAAGAGCTCATTTTTAATATTTTCTATCAAATTGCCTAGGAACCCATTATCTTCCAGAGGCAGCAATTCTGCTCAAATAACAAGGAAAGCCTCTTCTCTTCTTACTGGCTGGTCTCAACTTCTAACAGTCCTGTAGCATCTGGGAACACAGCAATGCTCCATGCATGTGAAAAAAAGCACACGGAGTAGAGATGTCAAGGCAGTGAATAGCCTTGAGCAGTGAGTTCTGCTCCCCGCCAGTGGGAATGGGTGATATTCCAAACATTGAACCACCTTACACCAAGAAGGTTATCCAGGCTCAGGAGACTCTGGCCATTGACTGCCTCAGTGTTCAATAGTTGATTCACCTCACAGGAGCCTTGCCCTTCAAGAAGACTTTCTCAGAAATCACCAACAAATCTCAAAGGGGTCATTTCTTTAACCCACTCCTTTCTTCCTATGGATTATTTAATGAGAAGGTGCTAGAGAGAAAGGTTTTTACTCAGACTAGACATTGCACCTACATTCAAAATCTCTGCCTTGGGAAGGAAGAACAAAGAAAAGAAACGAAGGTTTATAGTTTGTGGCTCAAGAGCTCACAGGTAAGCATGGGCTAGGACCTGAAAGTCCCTATCCAAGGTAGCTTCCTGCCCACCACACTGTCTTGGGTTGATGCGGGTGTTCAGGATCTCTATTCTTCATCCACTGACGTTACAGATTTCCATAGAGCCTCCCTCTCAACAACCCCAGGTCCCCAGTTGTACCTGCTTGAAAGTGGTCTTGAATCTGACTAGCCAGCGCTGGTACCAAGTCCCTGTTGAACTCTGGATCTCAATGAATTCATCCATTTGCTTGGGAGTTTTAATGTTGGAAACCTGTAAAGCAAAGATTGGCTAGAGAATCTTAACCCCACTTTGACTTTTCAATTTTTAGTTTAATGGAACTGACTTTATTAACTTACTTAGGGCTAGAGGAGCTTTCGGTGACCCTACAGTTCAGTAATTCTTAGCCAAAATTGTACATAGCATCTCTTAGGGATCTTTCTCAGGTGGCTATGTCCCACTGCAGACAAAATGAATCAGAGTTTTTTCACTCAATTATGGCTTTGGGAAATACACTGAATTCCTGTTTATACCTGATTTGCCCATAGTAGAGTTGACTCCACCTTAAAATTCACAAGTCTATCCTTAATGGATATTAACATCACAGAAGTCTAGAGCCCATATAGGCAACAGTGTGTGTGTGTGTTTGTGTGTGTGTGTTAGGAAAGGGGGTTTGCTATGCAAGACATTTTTAAAACACAGCAGAATAAAAGACGTTATGTCCTCCTCCTGCACAGCAAAGGAAATCATCAACAAAATGAAAAGGCAACTTACGGAATGGGAGAAGATACTTGCAAATCATATATCTGATAAGAGACTAATATCCAAAATATAAAAAGAACTCATGCAACTCAATAGCAAAAAAAACAAAACAAAAAAATCCAATTAAAAAATGGACAGAGGATCTGAATAGACAGTTTTCCAAAGAAGACATACAGATGGCCAACAGGTACGTGAAAAAAATGCTCAACATCACTAATCATCAGGGAAATGCAAATCAAAACTACAATGAGGTATCACCTCACACCTGCTAGAATGGCTATTATCAAAAAGACAGGAAATAACAAGTGTTGACAAGGATGTGGGGAAAAGGAAATCCTTCTGCGTTGTTGGTGGGGAAGTAAACTGGTGCAGCCACTATGGGAAATAGTATAGAGGTTCCCCCCAGAATTAAAAATGGAACTACCATAGGATCCAGCAATTCCACTTCTGGGTATTCATCCGAAGGAAATGAAAACACTAACTCGAAAAGATATCTGCATTCCCATGTTCATTGCAGTATTATTTATAAAAGTCAAGATATGGAAACAACCTAAGTGGCCATCAACAGGTGAATGGATAACAATGTGATACACACCCACCCACGCAAACACACACACAATGGAATACTACCCAGCCACAAAAAAATTTAAAAAAAAATCTTGCCATTTGCGACGACATGGATGGACATCGAGGGCATTATGTAAGTGAAATAAGTCAGACAGAGAAAGACAAATACTCTATGATCCCACTTATATTTGGAATCAAACAAACAAACAAACAAAACAAAACAGAAACAGAAAACCAAGCTCATAGATACAGAGAACAGACTGGTGGTTCCCAGAGGGGAGAGGGGGTAGGGGTGGATAAAATAGGAGAAAGGCGTCAAAGGTACAAATTTTCAGTTATAAAATAAGTCATGGGGATGTAACGTAGAGCATGGTGACTATAGTTAACAATACAGTATTCATTACTTGAAAGTTGCTAAGAACGTAAATCTTAAAAGTCCTCATCACAAGAAAAAAAATGTTTGTAAATGTGTGGTGACAGATGGTAACGAGACTTATTGTGGTGATCATTTTGCAATGTATACAAATAACTGAATCATTATGTGGTGCACCTGCAACTAATATAATGTTATCTGTCAATTATACCTTAATTTTTAGAAAAAAAGAGAAATTATGTCTTCCTTGCTACCCCTGGTTTTCCTGGAGGAAATCAAAGAGATAGGGGATGGAAATAAGGCTGTATATCTCAGGGCTCCCCCAAGGGCCCCGGAAAGTGTTAATTTGTCCAATGTCAGCAGGTAGCTCCAGGGAGCGATCCTGACTCATTACGACAGCGATTTTCAGTTTAAGCAATGTTTAAGACAACCATTGCATTCTATAACTAACCATCATGTTAAGGAGATTCCTGACCACACAAACTCTTAGCCAAGTTATCAAGGTCTGTGCATGCAGACCAATTCAGAGGAAAATAGAAGAGTGTACCCCAAAAATTCAAAACCAGTTTCTATCACCTCCTCCAACAAACCTTTCTTTCTAGGGAGAAAAGGCTTTAGCCGGTAAGTGTCTCCATCTCTTTCTTCAGCCAAGGGACTAAGAATGTGAGGAGACAGAGAGAGAGAGATGAGGCTGGATATCCACAGGGGGAAATACAGTCCCTGAATTAGGGACAATTGCTTCTTTAATTCCCAAGCCCTGAGCCTAGATGGCTTGGCTTTGTTTTTCTAAACCCTGAAAACAGTGGTTCTTCTCTTGGGAGGGCCGGATACCCTTTTGAGAACCTGGTAAAAGCATAGGTGCTCTTCTTAAAAATCACAGGTATATAAGCATGCCAGAGCCTCCTGGGCTGGTCCTGCCATTCCTGGGTGTGTGGCCTTTGCGAATGCTCTTCTGCCCAGGCCCACACAGGGACACAGGAGAGAGAACGCAGCAGGCCCTCCAGTGGGACTCTTGGTTGAAACTGGTCTTTGTGTTATTAGGTAACCCAGGGAGACCAAGAACCCAGCTGCAGCCGAAAGAGGCCGAGGAGAAGGTTGACCCCAAGTCAGGAAGCACATTAAGAATCTCACTAAATGGGACTTCCCGAAGGTCCAGTGGTTAAGACTCTGTGCTTGCACCGCAGGGAGCGCGGGTTCAATCCCTGGTCAGGGAACTAAGATCCCACATGCCTGAGGTGTGGGTGGGGGAGGGGGGAAGGAAATGCAAATTCTGTCTTTGCTTTGCTCCTGGGGAAAAATAACACCCTATTCCCTAGGGATCTGGGAGTGGGTGTGTTGACAACTTGCAAGCATAATTACTCTAATTTACAATTAACTAGGATACTTGGCTTTGCTTCAGTCTAAAGTAGAAATACAGTCTGTGTGGTCTGTGCTCACCCCAGCCTTGCAGAGCATATGGGTTCTCAGGGGAATACTTCAACCTACCCCCTTTCCAAAGGTGTTTCAGGGGACACCTGCCAGGGGGCTGTTCAGAAGCTTGTGAGGTATCGACAGGGGCTGGTGAAAGCCAGGGCTCTGTAGGGGAGGGGAAAGAATTCCTCTACCCTCTTAGGCTCCCTGGCTGGGTCTGGAAGTTAAACCGGCAAAGAGAGATTAACAGCAGTAAAGCATCCACATTCTACTGAATTTTTACATGTCCGTGGGAGCCTTCACAAGAGAATGAAGCCCCGAAGAAGTGACCAGCCCAGGAAGTTTTTATACCTTGTAGAAACAGTAAATTTGTGAAGAACTGACAAGACAAAGGGATTTGGGCTAGGGTGAATAAATGGTGAGAAGTAATTAGGACGATAAGGGTTAGTTTAACAAGGTTTGTTGATACAGCCTTCTTGGCCCTAAGTTCCCCATCTCTGCTGAGAACAATGTCTTCTTTCCTCCTGGTGCAGGGAGAGCACCTTCCATGTGGGAGATTTATGGCCTGTTTCAGGGAAGAAAGGGGAGCAGGGGGAGGTCAGAGTGACATTTCTACTTCTGCTGTTTTCTCAAACTCCTTCAGCTTACGATATTCAGTATGCCGAGGCGCCATATTTGGGGGTATCATGTCCTGAACCCCATCAGCTCCAAGGTGGATGTGAGGAGGGCCACATCCAGGGCTCACCATGAACACTAAGAGCCTGGCCTAAGCTCTTCCTCCAGGTCCCTGAGCATGTTTACTGTGAGTACCGTCTACAGAGGTGAGCACACAGGATCATAGCAGACGACCCCATTCGGCAGGGCTGAGTATCACTCCTGACTCCAGCCACTGCCCAGCTGTCGAGGTGAAGAACACTTTCAGGCTGTTTTTCTTTTCTTTTTTTTTTCCCCTGGCCCATCCAGTCATCCTCTTCTACAAAATTACTATGATTATCAAGTCAGTATGGAAATACTGAGCCCGTGACATTTTTAATTCCCTTTTCCTGAGAAAGGGTGAAATCTACTAAAAGCAGAGATTATACCCAAAGACTCAGTAACATCTCCTAGGAATAAGCAGGAGCTTGGAGAGAAGGCTACAGAATGGGTGGGGTGGGAGGCAGGACTGAACCAAGCATACCCAGACCCCAGGGGACAGGGCACTCCTGCTAGCATCTGGGGTCCAGACCCGCAGTCCAGCTGCAGCGTGAAAACCCATCACAGGGAGTGGCGGGGATGGGAGGTTGGGAGAACCACCAGTTCCCTTATCATCTTTCATTTGGAGTAGCTCTGCTAATTATGCTGCTTCTTCCTTTTTTTTTAAGTGTGGGAAATTTTTAATAAGAAAGTTAATTGAGGAAGGATTAAGAAAATGAACTAGCTAAAAGTTCTGTTTTCAATTACATTTCGTTTATCCAACCGGGAAGTCTATAAATATTGTTAATGGTGCTTCTTAATAAATGTTTGTGATAAAAACACTGGTGCCATATTTTAGATAATTTTAGGAGTGCTGGAATTGGGGAAATATGCCACTGGACAACTTTCTATAAAATCTATTATTTGAGTTTATTTATTAAAAAATATGACATAAAATATTTGGATAATAGTTAACATCTATGTAGTATTTACTCTAAGCCAGGCACAGTTTAGGTGCTTGATTTTAATCCTTACCATAACTGTATTTATAGACATTGTTATCCCTCTTTTCCCAATGAAGAAAATAAGGCACAGACAGTACCTTGCCTAAGGCCACATAGCTAGAACATGTTAAAACCAGGATTTGGACCCAGACTGGTCTGGCTTCAGCTTGTAGATTCTTAGCTGCTATGGGGTCCTGCCTGAGAATCAGGGGTTTCAAGTAACAGGTTAAGAAGAAAAAGTGTTTTACTCCAGACTCAAATTATGGAAGCCAAAGAAGCAAAAGCAGTGAATTGGAGTAGGTGGGAGTTAACTCAGGAAGGCTTCCTTGAAGAAATGGATTTGGAGCTGCTCTAAAAGGGGGTCATGCAGACAGGTGCACAGGGAACCTGCCGTGGGTATTCCTCGTGGTTGGCCACAGCTTGGTGGGAAGAGCACAGTTCATGGTAACAGGACCTCCCCGTGGAAACTGCCATTGGCTAGTTTTTCACTTTTTAAACTAGTGAGAAAGAAAATCCAGGCTAACAGCCAATGCTGGTAAGGATGCTGAGAAACAGGTATCCTATCATTGGTGGTATCACAGATCATTGCAACCCTACTGAAATGTAATTTGCAATGCATCTCAAGAGCTATAAAAATACTCATGCTGTTTGAGCCACTCATTTTATTTCTAGGAGTCTACTCTTAGAAAAAAAACCCAGAACATGAAAGGAAAGGAACTATGTGCAGGAAAAGGTTCATTGCAGCAATATTTGCAGGAACAAGGTAATAAAACAGGGCATATGCATCTCTAACATTGGGGACATGTTTATGAAAACTGTGTTAATGTTTCTAATATTAATGATTCTGAATACTATGAGACACATATAGAATGCCTATAAGTACTCCTAAATAATCTATATGCATTGATATATGTAAATATATGTACATATGGTTATCCCCATATGAACATAGCTAGTTTTTCCCTTTGCTATATTTGAACAATTAGCAATACCAAGAAGGTGTCCATCAAAATGCAAAGAATAATTACGATGCAATAATAGGAATGTCAGGGGCTTTATTCCCCTTTTGACAAATTTTCTGGGATATGCTTATATAATAAAATTATTTTTTAGCAAACCAAACCAGTGAAGAGGAGAGGCCCCCTCCTGTTGGCATAGGTGACCATGCACTCACCGTGAACACCTTCTCTGGGGCCCCCTTAGCCCTCATGTTGGTGTCGTGAACGTGCTTGAGAATCATCCAGGCTTCGTCGTGTTTGCCCATCTGGTAAAACCAAGGAGAGAGACATGAACAGTCTTTTGCTGATTTAGGGGTGGAAAACCCTACAAGTCCAACAGGTGCTGATACCCAAGTCTGAGGCGATTGGCCATGGATGTGTTACTATCTAGGGCTTGTGAAAGACTAGGACAAGTTTCTGTCGCAGCCCATCTTGGAAGGATAGCAAGGTTGTACCATCAAGGTGTAAATGCTGGGTGTTATTATCATTATAGGCTATGAATAACTACTCGTAGTTTAAGGTTGAATAGACTGCAGGGTGGGAGCCATGTTCCTCCCTGGCAGGACAAAGCAAAGACACAACATGTGATGGGTTGAACTATGTCCCCAACCCTAAAAATATGTTGAAGTTCTAGCTGCCAGTACCCCAGAATGTGACCTTATTTGGAAGCAGGGTTGCTGCAGATGTAATTAATTAAGGTGAGGTCATACTGGGGTAGGGTGCACCCCTAATTCAACATGACTGGTGTCCCTATAAGAAGAAGCCCAGGTGAAAACCCAGAGACACATAGAGAGAACACCGTGTGGTGACAAAGGCAGAGACTGGAGTGAAACAGCTGCAAGCCAAGGAATGCCAAAAAATGCAAGCAACCCACCAGAAGATGAAAGAGGCAAGTAAAGATTGCCCTAAGGGCTTCCAAGGGAGTGTGGCCCTGCCAACACCTTGGTTGGGGACTTTTAGCCAACAGACCTGTGAGACAATAAATTTCTGTTACTATGAGCCCCTCAGTTTGTGTGCCTTTGTTAGAGTAGCCCTAGGAAACTCATACACAATGAAGGGTAACTTTTGAGATAAGCATGGATAAAAAAACTTTTTGCTGCATCTGGAACCTGATCAATGGGATTAAAGAAGAAACTCAACAAGGAGGGTCAGTCTGCAGAAAGCTAGAAGGAGGCTTATAAGTAGACTCTGAGAATTGGGGCTGTAAGAGCCTTCAAGTCCTATCGCCCCTCCACCAGCCCTGCCTGTCTGACCACCACAAGCACGAGAGCCTCACCACCACCACCACTACCAAGCTGGAAACCTCATAGGACTCCGAGAGCAGCTTTCTGGAGGAGAGAGGTCCTGCAAAGCCAAGAGTCTTGAAGGGCTTGGGAGCAGTGACAGATTTACAACCCAACTCACAGCCGTAACATGGAAAAACTGCATGCAGCTTTGAAGAGCCTCATAATCAGGACCTCTGGGGAGAGTGGGTGCCAGAAGCATCCTCAACAGAGGCCCCTCCAGCTCTACCCAGCCTCCAGGAGCAGTGCTGCTGCTCTGTGCTCAGTGAGCTCCTGAGTCCCTCCGGCTCTGGCAGTCCTTGAATCCCAGGCGTGCAACCATCATGATGGATTTAATGATGGGCCAGGTCAGCCAACATGGGACCAAGGGGCTGGAGCAGCAGGGCTAGCTCCTGTTGCTGTTCCATTGCCCTCACACGGGTTGGGGGCGCTGACTCACCTCTAGCAGAAACCTCGGGCTCTCCGGCATGAACTTCAGGGCCACCATGGACACAGTGCAGGGCAGAGCGCAGACGATGACAAACACTCTCCAGCTGTGGAAGTGGTAATTGGTGCCCATGCTGAAGCCCCAGCCTGTGAAGAAGCAGTCAGAGGATCTCTGACACACGGTCTTAGAGTGACCTTCAAAAACTGGCTTTCAAACCGTGGGGCACAAGAACATCACCTGGGGAGCAGGTTAACATGCAGACTCCCCGGCTGTGCCCACAAAGCCTCTGATTCTGAAAGGCGCTGGGAATCTGCATCTTGTCAACCCCATAGGCAGGCCTGGCCCGACACTTATGGGGCCTTGGGTAGGAGTACAAATAGAGGCACCATCCCATATTTCCATATATTCATTAAAATTTCAGTTAAACTGTTAGATAACAGATGTTCCATCCTCTTGCTCAACAAATAAGGAGCTGGAAGGCCAAGCCCTGACCTGCCCAAGACCCACCTTTACAGGACCCCCTTCTGTCCCCCAACCAGCCCCTCCTGTAGAATGAGGGGCCTCATGCCAACACGTGTGGTCACACCACACACACCACCGTGGTAAGAGTGGGTGTCCTTGTCATAATCCCTTGAGTTTAGTGGGGAGTCCTAGGTCCTGAGTAGCCAGAGCATGGATGGAGTGGGGTTGTGGCCTTAGGGACGCACGTTGCCTCATGGGAAGAGGTACAGCTGGAGGAAAGCCACAGCAGGGCCTTATGTGACCCAGGGTTTTGATGGGGCATTAGTCTTACCTAAGTCAAAGGGCAATACCAGCTCTAGGTGATTCCAATGCACAGGGTTCAGGACCACACTTTGAAAAAACACTGTCAGTGATAATACTAATTTTTTTTAAAGAAACTGAGCTTCTACATTCAAATGAATTCTACCATCATTGAAATGGAGAGGTGAATAGCTCCTGCTCAGCTTTCATTATTCAAAACATTTCTAAAATTCATTTTCAGAAATTGCCTTCAGGATCTACAAAACATTCCTTCAAACATCTTCGTAAGAAGCAAATTTCCCTCTTGCAAAGAATGATAACACAGTGAAAAGTGCCTGGACTTTTGCAGTCACATAGATCAGAGTTCAAATCCTGGCTTTCTCACATCGTTATTGTTATGTTGGTGGGTTTTCACAGCTGTAGAAGGCAGGTAATTGTACTTCCACAGATTTGCTGTGTGTGAAAGCTCCTGGCAACCAAAAATCACCTGCTTTGAGGGTAGATTTGATTTGTTTTGAAATAGTTGCATGACAGTTAGTGCCAAAGATGTTGAGTAAAATAGATGAATATCAGCAAAAGGATTATTTTCTTTTAAAGCCAGGGTTATGAAATAGACTGGTTCTCTCATGTCACTCAAAACGATCTCTGAAGACAATTCCAACAGCATTTCTTAAAAGACTAAAATTTATAAATAAATATATTGATTTCTAAAGTTCAAACGGTGAACATTATTTGGCTGTAAAATCTCTATTCCATTTACTTGAAAATATACTATATGGCCAACTCTGGAGGTGGGCAGTTTATGTCTTGAATTCTCTCTTACCATCGCGGTTCAATTTGTTCTACTTGCAGGGGACTCCTAACCAATATCTGCTGTTTCTGCAGATATTTCTTACTCTATTTGCACAATGGAATGACTGGCCGGAGGGAATCCCGGGTGAAAAAATATGGGGCTGTGACCGCTTTTACACAATGGCCACAGAACATAATACACATAATACATCCAACATTCTCAATCACAATCAAATCTCTTTTTTGCACAGCCTGTCCTGTTCTCCTTCCATATCACTGGAGTTTTTTCCTTTTTTTAAAAAATAAATTTATTTATTTATTTTTGGCTTCTTTGGGTCTTTGTTGCTGCGCACGGGCTTTCTCTAGTTGTGGTGAGCGGAGGCTGCTCTTCGTTGCAGTGAACGGGCTTCTCATTGCAGTGGCTTCTCTTGTTGCGGAGAAGGGGCTCTAGGCGCATGGGCTTCAGTAGTTGCAGCGTGTGGGCTCAGTAGTTGTGATGCACGGGTTTAGCTGTTCCAAGGCATGTGGGATCTTCCTGGACCAGGTCTCGAACCCCGGTCCCCTGCATTGGCAGGTGGATTCTTAACCACTGCTCCACCAGGGAAGTCCCTGTTTGTTCCTTTCTTAATTTTAATTAAGAAGTCTTTCCTCTCTTGGGAGTGACAACAGAAAGAAGAAGGCAAAACCATAGTAAGATTTCCACATCCTCAGCTCATGTCCAAAAACCACTCTGGCGTAATCAGAAATAAAGCTGACCAAAGCTACAGAGAAGTCAAACTCAGGTGGGTAATGAGAAGAAAGGCAGAAGCAGGTATGTTTAGAAAGTATTCTGCCTCAGATGTACTTTTTTTCTTAATAAAAATATATGCAAATTATCCAAAATCCATTATTCCCTCATGCCTCTCTGGTTTTTATGGTGATTTTAGTAATCTGCACTTATCACATTCATTAGGCACACCTTTGGGGCCTTAAATCAATTAAAATTAAACAGTGAACTGCTTCCAAATATATAAGACTACTATTAATTTGGAGACAGGGATTGTTCTGGTCACTGATCTTTTAGCTTGCCCTACTTTTGTCCATCAGGATTTCTCAAACAGCTGGTGCTGCTGACTACAGTGGGAATTAATCTTCCATAATATATCCATTTTGGGGGGGCTATGCCTATGAGTTCCCAGAAAAACATTCTGAGGTTTGTAATTTTCTTTCTCAATGACTCAGTCACCCAAATTCCTGGTGCCAAGACCCCCCATCACTTCATTCCTGCAAAACCAGTTAAATGGTTTGCACAAGCTACGAACAAACATCAAGTCTCCTTTCCAGATCACCCTTGCATTTGTCCCTGCTGAGTGGAGGGGGTTTTAGAGGATTAATGTCTTAGGTCTGTTGGGAAATATCATCAAATGTCTCTGTTCACTGTGGACAGAACATCTGGTCTTGGTAAAATGAGGTTTAAAATAAATAATCACTCCTGTTGCACTATGATTCTAGTCTGCCATATTTCTAGGATGGGTTGCCCTCAAGTTAATGCCTGTTTCAATTAAGCCTAATCATCCAAGAGGCTGGTATTTTTAAATGGAATGTAAAAGCCATAGATTTCTTATAGGCATACAAATAGGAAAATATCCTATCCATCTGGAGTAAGATACTTAACCACAAGCCCTGCTATCAGCCAGGAGCTATGTGGCCCCTCTGCCATGGGCATCCCACTTAGTCTTGGTCAATGTGTCCCCAGCCTGAATTCTTTTATTGCTATTTTAGAAACCAGACACCCAGACATTGTGTGTTTATGTGTGCAAAGTGAAGTGAAAAAATGATGCAGCTTGTAGTGACTATTGTGGGTTGCTCCCCTCACAACATCCTTCCCATGCTTCCTCTCCACTGCCAGGGATGGAGAAGAAAGTATATGAAACGCCCAGGACCTGGCATCCTCTGGGGTTTAGTGATTGGCTGAGGTGAGCACATGACTTAAGTTGATCCAGTCAGAGGGAAGCCAAGGACCTTTGCTCATTGGTTGGTTGTGAGGGCAGTTCCCTTGTGGAACAAGCAGTCTGAAAATAGGGCTAGAATTGCTAATGCAGCTTGGAGGGAAACCAGCCCAAATACTAGAATCGTCTCCAAAATTTTCTCACCATTATTTGCCTCCCAAGAACTGCTGGATGTTAGGGCTGGCACAGATCGGATCTCCACCGTCTATTCTCTTTGCTTCCTTCTCTCCATTTTATAGATAAAGGAACCAAGGCTGGACAAGCTAGGTGACCTGTCCCAAATTACAGAGAACCACTATTTTGACTCAGCTTTTATCCAGAGTCTATTTGTTTCCCCCCAACAACAAAATTGTCTAACTCAATTTATATGTAGAAATAGTTTCTTAGTGTTAACACGTTTGGATCAATTAACAGGGGAAATTATATTATAACAAGAATTGTGGGGACAAAAGCAATTCCTTGGACCCATATAACCAACGGCCTGGATAATTAATGTATGAATTTGGGGGAAGGGTAGAATGCAGAGCCTGATATCAGGAGTAATACAATTTTGTATCTAAAATTATGTAGAATTACCTATGGTAACGGAATTATCTGGAAAACCCTTCAACTCTTTATTTCATTATTTTTGTTTGTATTTCTTCTCTGTTTCTGATACAAAAATCCAGTGGGATATGGCAAAGGTAACATGATGGTCCCAAACCCATTTCCTCTACCTTGTGGGCACACAGTTAGGTCACATTTCCTAGTGTCCTTTGCTGTAGTGTGTGGTCATATTACAGATTTGGGGCCAATGGGATGTGAGCAAAGAAGATGTGATCCAATTCCTAGCCTGCCCTTCAAAAGCACCCACATACAACTGTCCATGCTCTTTCACCGAACCAACATGTAGGTTACCTGTTGAAGAGGGTAGATCACATGCTGGAGGGAACCTGAGCCCTGGGATTACTGATGGAGCAGAGCTGCCTGCAGATCAGAAACACCAGCCGGGCTTTGCAGGAGGGGAAAACTTCTTTGGTATTAAACCACTAAGATTTCAGGGTTTATCAGGTTCTCAGGGTAATATACCCAGCATCTCCTTAACTAATAAAATAGGGATTGTCTACACCAAAGCTTCTTCTTAAAAAGATAATACAGAAGCCTCCATTAGCCCAGAACACACATCAGAGAGGGTCAGATTTAAAACAAGCATACCAGGAGAAAAAGGAACCCTGCTACACTCTTGGTGGGGATGTAAATTGGTGAAGTCACTATAGAACATTATGGAGGTTCCTTAAAGAACTAAAAATAGAGTTGCTATATGATCCAGCAATCCCACCTGTGGGCATATATCTGGACAAAACTCTAATTCAAAAAGATGCATGCACCCCTATGTTCATAGCAGCACTATTTACAACAGCCAAGACATGGAAGCAGCCTAAACGTCCATGGACAGATGAATGGATGAAGAAGATGTGGTACATATATAAGATGGAATATTACTCAGCGATCAAAAAGAATGAAATACTGCCATTTGCAGCAACATGGATGGACCCAGAGATTATCATACTAAGTGAAGTAAGACACACAAAGACAATTATCATATGATATCACTTATATGTGGA